ATATAGATTATAAATATAATTATTGTAACTTATATTATCTTGTTAAAGAAATAAGACTTACGAGTAAAATGAATAATTCGAATGAAACGAATAAACAACTTCAAATCTTTTTTCTCTTGATAGGCTTGTCTTTTATATATATTCCAGAACCTTCCCCACTTTCCTCAGTTACTCTACAAGCTTTAATTTACATTTACAAATCCAAACACATATGATACTCTTCCTTGTTTTATAATTGCGTAATCAGAAATATCATGGCATGATGATGAGGGTGTAAAACGAAGATTTAATAGATCTAATTAAAGGGTCCAAGCAGATATTTGTTTATTAATTAAAACCCCCCAAGATTTTGCAGGACAAGATATACTGCATCATTCTGCTCAGCAATATTTAGTTTCCTTGCCTATACTCAGTAGTTGTTCGCCATAATTAACTTTAATAGTTGTCAAAATTATCATCGTAATTATTTGAATTCTTTAAGTCGAATGTCATATTGATATATACAGTGGTTATTTTATATAAGAATATTGAGTATCTGTAATTATTGCTATAATCACTTTTCAATTGTGTCAACAAATATAAACAAATAAAGACGCGAGATATTAAGAACTTGTACATTTATTTTAATTAAGTTGTAAATTTAACACAGATATCTAATGTGCTATTGTTTAAAATACACTTTAAAGTCATTCCGTAAGTTTAATCTATAAATTCGCTAAGAATTTTACACGTAGTTAAAATTCAATTTTATACACTACGTAGATCCTCTGCTCTTAACATCATCATCAATCTCCAAATATTTATTCTTTATGCGTTGTTGCTTTAATAAACTAACATCAACAATGTAATCTTTAAGAAATATTTCTAATCCATTAATCCTGGCTTCATCTGAATATTTTTCGACGTCAGGATCTGTTGCAAATGTCATTGCACCCGATTTATTTAGTTTATCAAGGACTTTCCGCTTAAAACATTTTTCTTGAATGTATCCCCATGGTTTAATCGAATTAACACCTAAATTGTAAATGCGTATGAATATACGTAATATATTATGTAATGATATATTGATTAATATACAGGATAATTAATTA